TGACAAAGAGGTTTCATGTGGCTGCGTTCTTCTTCGTCGCGAGTCTTGCTGTTGCTGACTTCATGGTTGGATTGTTTGTGATTCCTATGGCACTGGTTTTTCAAGTTGCACTGGAAATGAAAGGTAGGTGGTAGTTTGTTGAATTTATGCATCTATTCATGTATGGGAAGATTTATGGCGTTAAGTACTGGGAGAGCGATGGGGTGACAAAATAAAGCAGATTCTTGTTACACTTGTTTTTCAAGTTGTATTGGAAATGAAGGGTAGTTAGTTTTTATGCATCCATTTATACATATATGGGTGCAACAAGGAATTTAAGTAATGGGAGAGCGGTGGGGCCACAAAATAACGCAGATCCATCTTTTCAGCAATTTAAAACCTTTTTAAGGAAAATATTGTAACAAAAAATATGTCATAAAAGTGATAGAAGGGGAGGGGAGGGAGGGGTAGAATGTGATCCTCCCCTAAATCTACCACTGCCATATACATCCATGTGATACAATGCCATTCATTCATTCATTCGTCCATTTATTAATTCAATCTCCTTTGATCGTTCATTTAGCATTTCATCGATTAATAAGTTATTCATATTCGATGTGTGAGTTAGCCTTTCCGCTGATTTTGAGTAGCCTCGAGGTTGTTTCAAGGCCCGAAAAAAAATGAAGATTATGGTTGAAGTTGATGTCAGTTAAGAATTAAAACAGTGGCTCGTTAAGTAACAGAACACAGAAAGTGACGAAAGGACCAAAGAAGTGCAAGGAGAACTTTAACAAACAAAACAAAACAACAACAACAACAAAAAAAAAAACAACAAAAAACAACAAAAAGCAAACAAAAAACAAAAACAAAAAACAAACAAAAAAAAAAAAAACAAAAAAAAAAAAACAAACAACAAAACAAAAAAACAAAACCAAACAAAAAAACAAAAACTGTTCTCTAAGGGAGATGGCGCCTAGCTAGGTTAATCTAATGAATTGGTTTTATCTTAGCAGCAATCAACAGCGTAGTTGCTAAGCAGCAGAACGCAATGGGGCGACTAAAATAATCCATTCGTTGACAACTTTCTTTAATTTTTACGCTTACAAGAGAAGCGAGTTCATATCTATAAATATGACAAGCATACAAAATACGGCCAAAGGGACTAGACGTGGTTGGGATTACAAAGAAGCAAAGCATTTCGAGTCTTAGGTGTTTTACATTTAGAGCTAGTGTAGTTCCAGCGCCGAAGCGTAAACATTTAACCAATGATAAATTGTTTTTCCAACTCGTATGAAATACAGCTGTGTTCCTCGCCTACATACTCATTTATTCAGCGTTAAAATACAGCACCATTTATTTTAGTGTCATAATATTCACATATGGCTACAAGCTTTGGACCATCAGGTGATGGCAGCCATGTTAGATGGCAGGAACAATGCAGTCGTTTTAAACGATAAAAGATTCAATTCCCGAAGGGGTTTTATTGTTCTGCCATCTAATCACAGGCCACCCAAGCTATATTATGGGGCCAGCACGTGATGGTGCAAAACCTTTATAGACTTGCTACTGAACGTAACGATAAAGTAATGAGTGCATGACTTCAACAAATGCAAGCACTTTAAAACCCACGGACCTTTCTGGAACATATGAATATTCTACGCGAAATTAAGGCTATAAACCCTGATCAACAGGAAATTCAAAACTTTCATTTGTTTATTTATTTTTCTTTCACCATGTCATTCACAATAGACAAAATTACACTACTACTATCAGATAGTATGCAGATATTTCAAAAAAGGTTGAATGGCTGAGTACTGCATACTGAATAGTGCATTCCAAGACCAAAGTGCATTGTGGGTCTAGTTAATTTGAAATAAAAAATAAATATACTGCAATTAACTCTCTACATGTAGTTAGTATATTGTTTCAGATGAAATACACTAAAAATAGAATAAATAATAATTATTAATCCTACTTAAGACAATGTCACTATGACCCACAATGCACTTCGGTCTTCAGTGGAATGCAATATTCAGTATGCAGTATTCAGTATTCAACCTTTTTTGAAATAGCTGTATAAGGCTTTATTAGTTAAAAATGTACTTATTGAATTGATATTATTATTATTTATTGGTATTATTTGAACATAGTGAAATACATCTCAATTATTACCGCAACTTTCTACTGCTCCGGCTTGTTATGAAATTGGGGTTTTCACTGTTGCCCAGAGAAATATAAAATGTACCGACTGATTATTTTTGATTGACGGCAGCGAAAAACCAAATTTCAGCGTGCAGCTTGTAATTACCGAGTTCGCAAAATATGGAAAACTGGAGTAACGAATGAATGCAAAGAGAGTTGAGGCCTAATTAGTTTTTTTTTTTTTCTCTAGAGTACACGGTATATACAGTAGAAGTCTGCGATGCCTGGATATTTGCTAACACTTGGTTCAGTTGTGCGTCCATCCTTAACTTGTGTGCCATAAGCTGGGACCGCTACGTAGCCGTCAGGTCACCTCTTCGATACGCTGTACGCATGCGTAGATCAAGGGTTAAGATAATACTGCTTTGTATCTGGGTGTTTTCATTCTTTCTTTCATGTCTTGCTTGGCTTGGTGTTAAAGCTTCACACAATCGGATCCATCAATGTTCTACCGAAGGCATGGATATTGAATACGCTTTACCAGTCGTCATCGTCTTGTTTGTCATTCCAGTATGCTTTCTTGGTTTTTCTAACGGCAAGATAATGATCGCTGCTCAAGCGCAACTCAAAAAAAATTAAAGCACAGTCGACTATATCACTTAAAAGTGAGAGTACAAAAGACTACGAACTCCAACCGTACGAGCAGAGAACAACCCTTCAAAGAAAATTGGATTCGCTGAGAATTAGCAAAGAAATAAAGACTTACAAACTCTTTTTGACGGTGATTGGAGTGTTCATGTTTTGCTGGATGCCCTTTTTCGTTATAACAGTGATATCTTCTATAAAACCAATCACTGCGGTATATGACAACATCAAACTTCTGTTTATATCTCTTGGCTACGTTAACAGTGCTTGTAATGTTTTTATATACGGATTTCTTAATAAGGATTTCAGGAAGGCGCTGGTTATGGCGATTCAACGCAAATGGACGGCGAGGCAGAGGTCCCAGTCCTTCTCTTCATCGTCGGCCGCACGTCGTAATACGCAGGAGAGAGGGGTTGATAATGAATCTTACGTCAGCTCTACTTTACCAAGATAGTCTTTGTTATAGAAGTTTTGCACTATCACGTGACGGCAGCCATGTTAGATGGCAGGAACAATACAATCGTTTTACATAAGAAAAACGTCGATTCCCGAGAGCAAAGGGATTTTATTGTTCTGCCATCTAACCACAGGCAGCCCAAGCTATATTATGGCAGTGGGCACGTGATAATGACGTCATAGTCGTCATGCTGGGTGACCATAACAAAGCATTCCTCATTCCGATGTTGAGGAAAAACTTGGTCAATGCATTTTAGGGCTGTTTTAATTGACGAATTACACTCTATCTCGGAAATACGTCCCCTAAACAGTCCCACAGTGCACTGCAATGCACACTCGACCCAGTTTTCCCCTCAGCCTCGGAATGGTTAATAATTTAGCTCGGCTTCTCTTGTTAGATCAACCAACATGTTGGCAGTTTCATTGTAATTTATGCTTTGGGGGATTTTGAGTGATATGGTCGCACTCCAATAATATGTCGTAATTATTCCTAAACAAAGTTATTTATTTATTTTGATTTTTATAAATATTACGAGTTTCAGTTATACATTGATTTACATACTGTTTTTCTGTAATTCCTCGCACATTAAGGTGCGCACGAGAAAGTATACAGGAGTGTAACCAGGGATCTTGCAGGGTGGGTGCACTGCTGGGAATGGAAATGGAACTATGTCCAAACTAACAGTCGCCTTTAAAGTGGTATTCCAATTCATATATTTGCAGAACCAAAAAATTCAATATGCAGATAGACAGTGCTCTTGATTTAATCAAAAATTTTATGCAATTTTGAAGCAAATGGAGATAGATGAGCGGACCTTAAGCTTTTATGGGATGGAAGGGGGGGGGGGGGGTGGTAAACGTGCACCCTGTGCCCTCCCTGGTTAATAATAATAGTAACACCTTTATTTTATATAGCGTCAATTCTACAAGATTCAACAACGCTTTACCGACTTTAAGCTTGAATTACAAAACACTATTAAATTGATAAATAAATGCTTCGTTTACGAAAATACTTCGGAACAAAGAAATACAATAGTATAATGGGGTTCTTTTATGCTCGACCTTAGTGCACGCTTTTGAATAAATAAGTAGTAGTATATAAGTACGGAAACGCCTTAATGTAAATTCATTCAAGTCAAGTTACACCGGCTACCGGGTAAGTTACACCGTAGATTTGTCGCTTTTTTCTTTAGATAGTAACGTTTAGTATCACAATTATCCCTAGATTTCGAACAAGTAAAAGTAACAGAAGATAACGATGTTAAATGATATTTAGATGATTAAAGTTCTGAAACCGTACGTAGCCTTCAAGTAATGTCATTTATTTTGAAACAATAAATAATATATTCATAGATTAAACTGGTAATGATAATTGTACGCTTGCCGGAAAAGCCAAATTTTTTATTAAAACCTGATAGAGAATCACGGGCTCTATGTTCATGGGAAGGGAGTTCCACAACTCGGGGGCTGCATGGGAAAACACCCTGTACCCATAGCTTTTAAGGCTATCAATGGGTTTTGATAGTAGATTGAGGCTAGAAGATCTTAAGGATCGAGGTGGATTATAAGATTGAACCAATTCACAAATTAAGATAGGGAGGTGCAGCATCATGTAGGATTTTAAAAGTAAGCAATAAGATCTTAAATTACAGGTAGCCAATGCAAGTTTTGGAGAATTGGAGTGATATGGACAATTTACTAGAAAACGTAACAGCCCTTGCGGCTGCATTTTGGACGTACTGAAGTCTATCTATGGATGACTTAGGTAGACCATAGAATAGAGAGTTGCAAAAATTTAATGAGGAATTCCTGATTTGACAGTAGATTGGCCATCCTGGACACATACTGTACAATGCCTATCATACAGACAAATACGACCTAAAACATTGAAGAGCAAGACCATTGATACCATATCTTGTTGACAGCCTTTGTAATAGAAGTGAGTGGTTGGCAGTATCAAAGGCTGCAGATATGTCAAGTAAGACCAGGATATCAGAACATTTGTTGTCGATTGCACGAAGTATGTCATTCTTTACTCGTACTAATGCTGTTTCGACAATGTGTTGTTTTCTATAGGCCGACTGAAACTTTTCGTGCAACTCATTATTTTCAAGATGTTGGCATTATTCCAGAGTTTGTAAGTAACTGCTCATTTTACTGTAATTCCATTACTTTGATCATAGCTAATATTATTATGCTCTGATCGAATTATAAATTGAATAAAACTATATATGGCTAAAGAGAGGTGGGGGTGGGGTTCATTGGTAGTCAGGATCGAATTAATTTGACACCTTGATAGAGCCCGCATTTAAGAGTTCAGCCCATAAAAAATATATAACGAATGTGACTTTCAAGTTCCACATGAATCCCTAGAAGCTATGAACGACTCATTTGCATTTAAAATGGCTCAAACTAATGCCTACCCTGATCAGACACTTAGAAATATTAGAAGCTTTGTCCGTCCGCCCATCCGTTAGTCTGTCCACCGATCAATAGGTCAGTCGCGCTTAATTCATGAGCCACTTAGCTCTTAGCCATAAGCGCTTTCGGAAGTGAGTTTCGGCAGAGATACATACATATATAATCTATATTGATGTGTCTTATCGCTCTAGCACCTAATATAATGGCACTAATTGAGGACGCAAATAAAATATTGAATGAATAATAAACTACAAATATAAAAAATATGAGCAATTTCATTTGCATGTATTCCTATTTTTCCCTGCAGTCTCTAATGTTAAAATGTTTCAACTTTGCAACATTTGAGGCTTGTTATCATAGCTTTTCTAAACTCCTTGTTAAAGACTCCATAGATAAAAATATTCATAGCACTATTGCAATAACCAAGAACAATGGTTATATAAAAGACAAAAGAACTGAACTTATTGACAATATCAACAAGCATGGACACATAGAATGGACACCAACAGACCACGAACACCCCGATAACGATAAGAAAGGTTTTGAATGTCTTGATCTCTTGCTTGATCGTTCTTGTTAGTGTTTTTCCACCTCGCTCGGAAGTCGAACTCTTATTATTAATCTGGTGGAGGATCCCGGATGTAGATCTACCGCGGGAATCGAGCGTCAACATTGGACTAATATCGATGCTATTTCTGCTCTCGAGATTATAATTCCAGTTGTTACTAAAACTAAGCCGCATCGAATCCTCAACTGCTGTGATTCTTTTCTTGTGTCTTCGAGCTGTAATCCAGACTCTTGCGTTCACAAATATCAAAAAGGCTACAGGTATGAGGAAGACAAGAAGGACACCGCATACTGCAAAGGCAACGTCTTCGATTCTATGTATCGTACAGTTAGTCCTCTTGTCTATACTAGAATTTGCTTTAGCGATAAGAATGATTGATAATGAAAAGCTCAACGTCCAACTGATTATTATCATTTTGCGCACTCTTGTATCGCTCATGTGCGCTTTGTAGTGAAGCGGTGACGTCACTGCTATGTAACGATCCCAGCTGACCAGACAGAGGTTGAGAACTGATGCAGAGCAGAACCAGAAGTTGAACAGAAGCCATGCTTTGCAAGTAAATGATCCCAATATCCATCTCCCTTAAACCAAAAAAATAAAAATGAACCATTCAAAAAAGAGTGAACAACAGCAGTATTACAGGCATAAAGCGTAAGGGAGAAACCGGTCTGTCTATCTGTCTGTCTGTCTGTCTGTCTGTCTGTCTATAAGGAAGACACTAGATTACCACAGGAAGCCCAAGCTCTGTTTAGATTACTAGATTAATAGAGAACAGAAAAGAGAACATAAGATGACGAGTTGAAACAATTGGCATCGATCTCAAAGCAACTCAAAATGTCACGTGGTATGTAATCCATACATCTCATTGGTTGAGAGGTTGCCTACGCCCACTTTGGGCCACCTTCTTGATTTTGAGTAAAAGAGAATACAACAGAAACTAGGCTCCCGGTGTTAATGACGTATCTGCGGTCTTTCCTAATAAAATATTGCAGGCTCAGCAATAACAATGATGGCGATTTTTATCGAAGGAAAAGGAGGTAAAAAGACTATTGAAATCATGTTTATTCATGGAGACTTACGTAACAATCAAATAAAATAGGGACCGACAGATCCAAGTGAGCAATCAGTGATTTATTTGGTCTACTAACAAGCATTTCCTGTCACAAAGCAAAGATTCTCTTTCAGCCCATGGATCGCTCTTCAACGCTAATGAGTAGTATTGACATCATCTATAATTAGCTCTGCTTCCCTTTAAACTTACTCATGATAATCAGAAATAACCTTTCTGTTTTTCTAAATCTTTATTGATATTCTGCAATGGTGCGTAGGTGACCACAAAAAAGTTTTTTCTATAAAATATTTTGTGTGTGTGTGTGTGGAGGGGAATTTTTTTATTTTAAAGCTACTCAAAATAACTAAAATAAAAAATAAAAAAATAAAATAAGTAACAAATCTATGTCATTAAATTTGCGGCCTAAAAATATAAGTGCAAAAAGTACTTGATGCTGATTGGCTGAAATACAGTGCAAAAAAAAAAAGTAATGCAGTGCAAATTACAAACGGAATTCTCGCTTTTGATTGGATAATAAACAATAGAAAATGATTTTAGCCAATAAGATGATAGATTTTTATGACGAAAAATTTGAGGAAAATTTGAAGCAAGCGAGGGGGAAAATGGCAGCCATTTTATCTTAGGTGAAAGTAAGCAAAGATTTTACAGATTTTTCTATCAAAAAACTAAAAAAAAAAACCAGTTTAAAAAAGAAAACACAAGTAAAAGTTCATCGTTATTGCTGAATATATGGAAGAAAAAGTGAGAAGAAAACAATGAATTGAGGGAAATGAGCCAGCCGATCTAGATAAAGAAAATACTCGAGCGATTCTTTGCCGAAGTAAAGCAAAAACTAAAACAGAAATGAAAAAGACTATGAGCAAGACCATTAAACACGATGTGGTAAGTGCTTACACAATATAATATTTTGGTCTACAAGATCCCAAGCTGAGCCGCAAAGTGTTCTGAACACCTTCAACAACTGTCAGGTATAATTTTTTTTCAATGTCTTACAACTCCAGTTAGCTGCAAAGTCAGCCAATCCAAATGTCTTCATTCATAGTGATTCAGATTTACTTAACAGTAAAAAAAAAAAACTTTTTACAATTAACATATAGCCAATTTTTCGTTTAAAATGGTTAAAAAAATCTTTGTTACATGTATTTGAAACCAAAATCGTTTTGAATATAGTTGGTTGTGAACGAACAAATTTCATAAAATATTAAGCTTATGCATTGAATATTTCACATATTTTCGTCTCTCTCTCTCTCTCTTTTTTGTAATTTTTCATGTATGTTATTAATAAGTAATAACACGATTTCTCGTTCAATTTGTCGATACATTTGCACAATTCATTAGTCGGCTATTTTTAATTCATTTGTCAGAACCAATAAGCAATAAAGACATCACAGGGCTTATTACGCGCGTGACCTTGAACGACTGCAAAGCGTTTTTGTCCTAATTTTTGCACTTGTATCATTAATAAGTAATGATATGGTTTCTCGTTCAATTTGGGATTAATTTGCACTCGTTAGTTTTTCAAAGAGTCAAATTGCATATGAATTGTTAAAATCCCAATTTCAAAAATTGCAAATTGCACTTAATACGGATCATCACTGGATTACAAGAACATTCTAGACAAAGTAAAAATAGAGGCTTATTGCTGAACAACAGAAAACTCGAAACTTACTTGACAAATTGGTGGATGATTGGATTAGATGAATGGAAAACCAAATTATAAAAGTATTTCTAACTTTTCCGATTATTACAATTATCATTATTAATGGTTATGAGATGAGTTCGGCTTCGGGTAATGGCTGGTTTTTGTGATATTGTCATTGAATGATGAAACAAAGTCACGGAACTGAATCATCGAATAACGTTTGAATCGCGGTGAGACGGTATTGTAACACGAACATTTGGACTCAATTCACAATGGTTTAACGAAAGTCTCTCAGTTCTCATCAAATAGATTTTTTCACCGATGCTCTCGCGGAAGCCTGCTGTTTTGAGCGAACTGAAAAACATGAACGAGAATGTTTACTCTTGCTTATCGAAATAAAAAATGACCATAACAATGGACGAAAGCCATTCAACATTTGAAACGAATAAATTTTTTCACACGATATGAAGATAAGATAGTCATTCACGAACTTTTTCCTGGGAAATAAATGTTTCGTATGATATATTTAGAACTAAAAACTCGAACTAAGTTGGTCACGGAGTAATGAAAAACAAAACAAAACAAAACAAAACAAAACTATAAATGGATCGTAGACTCTTTCGTTTTCTGTCCATAATGAGCTTCGATGTCAAGATGCAAACGAGGGTGTTTTTTGAATGATATATTGAAAGAAATACATGCTATCATATCCCCTTATATTTATCAAGAAAGAAGTGGTTATAAATATTACAATTAACTATGCCATGCCGATAGTCTTGAAACAATCTTAAAAAAAAAAATTCAAATTTTTTTCTTTAATTTTTGCTCGTAAGAATTTTTGATCGGCTATGATTTGTGTTCGTTAAAAGTATCTTAATTTTGAGATTTAAATTGAATTGAAAAAAGGTGGAATTAATATTTCTGTCGGCTTACCTGTCATTTCAAAAGTAAGGTGATAAGCGAGCGAGATTGGAAGAACCACAAGTCCAACTAGAAAGTCTGCCACAGCCAAACTCGCCACGAAGAAGAACGCTGAAAACCTCAAACGTCGAGTCGTGAAAATAGTCCAAATAACAAGAAAATTCCCAACCAGAGTACACAACATCAGAAGTACTAAAAACACGGCAGTCAAAGCAGTTTTTGGGCTTTTAAGTACTTCGGATAGAGTATGATAATGATAACCTGTAGAATATGTCGAGTTTTCTTCAGCCATTTTGATTGAAAAGATGAAATTCTTTTTGACGTAAAGTATTTGAATCTTCGCCTTAGCTCTGACCAAGAAAATTATGCCATTTCTTATAAAAATACGTCTGCTGAGTACGATAATAAGCAAAAACAAATGGTATTCATCGACAGAAAGTATGTTTTAGAGCACTTGAAGTTCACTCAACTGAACCCGCTAAACAAAACGGTATTTGCAAAATGAATATTGCTTCTTGGAAGTTGCTGGAGAACCTATTCTAGTCTTACTAGCTTTGAATTCATGCCAGAGAGTTGTAACGTATATATTAAACGCTCAGTGAAAGTAAATAATTCGGCCTCTGACAATCCGGCAAATTGATAATATTACAATTACCAACTGTCAGATGCTGAAACAATGTACTTTTGCTTTCAAACGGAAATGTTTAGGCAATGTTATCTGAGTATTAATTAGAACAGTGAGCTTTTTTTAACTTCTAGATTATAATTTCAATAACAAGAAAATCTATCCACGATATTTTGTACTGCAGGTGGTTTCGTTATTTGTTGAATTCCAGCTAGAATTTTTTTTTTTTTTGCTATCTTTTTCGGTTAAATAAGCTCTAGATTAAGTTTTTTGTGAGTGTTTTTTTTTTCTTGATGAAGAAAAATTGTTGCTTGGTAACACTCGACTTTTACATGTAATAACTTGCAAAACTCAAAAGAAATCCTAAAAAAAAATATAAATAAATAAAAACAAGAAAAAAACAAAACAAAACAAAACAAAAAAAACAACAACAAAAAAAACAACAACAAAAAAAAAAACAAAAACAAAAACAAAAAAAACAAAAAAACAAAAAACAACAACAACAACAAATAACTAAAAAAGAAGAAAAAGCCAAAAGATTTGATTTGAAAATAAACCATGTTTTTAAATAAACGGTGTCTTTTCTAGTAGGAGAAAGAATTTTCCTTGAAAATGCAGTAACAGAGACATTTTCATAACAGGAGTTTACTCCCGACTTTATATTGACACTTAGACTACTGTGCTCTCAGCTTTAACTTTTTTTCCCTTTTCATAAATTATCAGCCCTAGACAAACGAAATTTCTAGTAATTACGAATATAATTTTGAATTTTCTTAATATTTCTACCGACAGTGCATATATCTTACGAATTTTTTTTGGCTTTTAATAAAGAAAGTTTCGGAAGCGAGAATACTAGATCATTAGCAGCTTTAGTAAAACGGATTGCGATCTTCTGATATTATTATATCTTCTTTGCATGAATTTTGGCGCATTTGAAAACTTTCAGTTTAAGCCAAAACTCTCCTCTTTTGTTTGGTTTTGTTATTCAAACGTGGGCAAAAGATAAAGAATGTTATTTTTCCTTTTGTTCTGTTTTGTATATTCGAATTCATGCACAAGACATTCTACATGATCGTGATACGATTAAAGTAAAGCAGCTGAAGAAGAATCGAAAGGGGAAAAAATTGATGAATAAAAAAAAAAAAAAAAGAAAAAAAAGAAAGATGGAAAAAAAAAAAAGAAAAAAGATTAAACTAAAAATAAGGATCGGACTCCTCTTAACACAGCTTTAAGAAATAAGAAGTATTCCTACTGAGTAGATTACAGAACCTCCGTGGCCTGAGGCTATCTATCATCATTGACCGTGTTATTCATTTAACACGTTGTCAAAACTGTCTGTCAAAAGCCAATGTCATTATTATCTGTGTACAATTTTTCTTCTTTCTACGGCTAACCTAATAACTATAAAGATATGAACATTTCATATGTATATTGCGCATGCGTGCATTCTTTTTTTGATCCTGCATGCGTCCCTCTTGCTCAACGATAAAGAACATAAACTCGCTATAAAAAAGGCCAAGAAATCTAACTCATTCAGAGAAGAAAACTTTCTATTTTTGTTTCAAGAGCATTATCTCCAGCCCACTTGACCATGCCCAAGTAGTTTTAGTGAATATACAAATGACTGGTATTAGTTGCATATGGGATTGTTTGAAGGATGGCCATTTCATTTCAGCTGTCTGAAGCAAAAGCCGCCACAATCTCTCCCACCAGGCGGAATCCAGTGATAAACATCCTGTTTTTCATTTTCTGATAGTAGAATAGCACCGTCACATGCTGGGATTTTACTAGTGCAGCAATGGTCCTCTTCGACACGATTTTTCAATTTCGAAATCCACTCATGAAATGAAGTCCACTGATAATCATTAAGAATTATTCCCCTTAAAGTTGACTTGTTTTTCTCCCTGCCATGTTGGAAGGAAATTCATTTACTTAAAGAAAGATTAGGACTGAAGACACCTGTTAAAACTGGCATGTTTAACATAAAGTTAAAATTATAATTTCAAAATTAAAAATATTTTCAACTCTGCTTTTCTTCCTTCAAATTACTGATATTAGTTATTTTGTAATATTTTATTTCCGTGTGCCCTGCTACACGCATTTCCCTTTTTGAAATCCACAGGCGAAAATAAGCAGTTGCACGAATTTAACATAAAATGATTTCGCTTCTAAAGTTAGCTTTTATTTCTGGCATGCTTAACTTAAATCATAATTTTGGGATTATAAATAATTTCAATTTCGCTTTCCCAACTTTAAATTAATGATTTTAGTTGTTTTTTATTATTTATTTCCGTGTGCCCTACTACACGTATTTTCCGTTTTGAAAACGTGCAGTTGCACTAATATAACTTTAAAATATTTTCGCTTCTAATTAACTTTTATTTCTGAGTCATGCTAGAAAGATGTGAAAATGTGCAGTTGCACGAATATAATTTTAACTTTCAAATGAACTCTCATTTCTGAGCCATGCTAGAAAGATAGACTTTATTGCAGGCAA